AGTTATTAGAGGGGAGAGGGGTTGGAGAGCTGGGTGAAAAAGTAGAAATTGGTAGTTACAGTACAGTCGCAGAGATGTAGATTACAGCATAAGGAATGTAGTCAGTAATATCAATGATAACTGTATGGGGCCAGGTGGGTACTTGAAGCAGTGGTACATGATTTTCAAACCACTTTGCTGTACATCTGAAACAAATACAGAATAATATGGGATGCAATTGAAAAAAAAATAATTATCTGTCAGAAATGGGTGCTTGGATTACCTTATTGCAGCGATTTTCAACACTTTTCATCTCATGGCACATAAACTAATTACTAAAATTCTGTGGCACACCAAAAAAATATATTTTATGCTGATCTGACAAAAAAATAAGTATAATTTTGATTCATTCACACCAGATGGCTATTGTTGTGTTGGCTATTGTCATTTTTTTAATTTCACAATCTAAGGGAAAAGAGTTCAGGGCCCGTGACTAGTCAGGTATTGCATGTTTTAAAAATTCTTGCAGCACACTGGTTGAAAATCACTGCCAAATAGTAGTCAAGAAAAGGGGAGTTCTCAACTCCCATCTGACCCTGTGATCCCACTTCTAGGAATATATCCCAAGAAACCAGAAACACCAATCGGAAAGGATATGTGCACCCATATGTTCATAGCAGCACAATTCACCATAGCTAAGATCTGGAAACAGCCTAAGTGCCCATCAGTAGATGAATGGATTAGAAACTGTGGTACATCTACACGATGGAATACTATGCTGCTCTAAAAAGGAAGGAACTCTTACCATTTGCAAGGTCATGGATGGAACTGGAGAGCATTATGCTAAGCGAAATAAGCCAGTCAATGAAGGAAAAATACCACATGATCTCACTCATTCATGGATAATAGAGACCATTATAAACTTTTGAACAATAATAGATACAGAGGCAGAGCTGCCTCAAACAGATTGTCAAACTGCAGCGGGAAGGCCGGGGAGGGTTGGGGGGCAGGAGGTAGGGGGGTAAAAGATCAACTAAAGGACTTGTATGCATGCATATAAGCATAACCAGTGGACATAAGACACTGGGGGATAGGGGAGGCTAGGGGACTGTCTAGGGCGGGGGGATAAAATGGACACATATGTAATACCCTTTGAAATACTTTAAGCAATAAATTTTTTAAAAAAAAGGGGGGGGGGAGTTCTCAAAGAGCCAATGATTAGCTATAAACATGGAGGAATAAGGAAACTGTATAGGAATCCAACCCTCTAAGGATCCTGAGACCTTCAACTCAGGGACTTTTAGATGCTGGATCCCTAATAAAGGTTATGGCATCCAGAGACACCCAGAAAGTGGTAGCCTGATCTACATGGACCCCAGAATTTGAGTCAGATGAGGTTTACAAAACTATATAAGGTGGACACTTCCGCTCTACCAGTAAAGATTTCTAAATTTCACTGAGGCTGTAAACTGACCTCTAATCTAAAAGACTCTTCCTTAGGCCCTGGCTTTTTAGCTCAGTTAGAGATCAAACCATCATCCCAAAAAGCTAAGGTTGGGGGTTCAATCTCTAGTCAGGGCACATACATGAAACAACCAAGGAATGCATAAATAAGTAGAATAACAAAGCAATGTTTCTCTCTCTCTCTCTCTGTCTCTGTCTCTCTGTCTCCCTTCCTCTCTCTAAAATCAATCAATAAGTAAAATAGCCCTACCCGTTTGGCTCAGTGGATAGAGCGTCAGCCTTCAGACTGAGGGTCCCAGGTTCGATTCCGGTCAAGGACACATGCTCGATCCCCAGTAGGGGTCAAGCAGGAGGGAGTCAATCAGTGATTCTCTCTCATCATTTTTTAAAATATATTTTTATTGATTTCAGAGAGGAAAGGAGAGGGGGGAGAGAGATAGAAACATCAATGATGAGAGAGAATCATTGATTGGCTGCCTCCTGCACGCCCCCTACTAGGGATGAGCCCACAACCCAGGCATGTGCCCTTGACCAGATGAGCCCACAACCCAGGCATGTGCCCAGAACTGGGACCCTTCAATCCGCAGGCCAGCGCTCTATCCACTGAGACAAACTAGCTAGGGTCTCTCTCATCATTGATGTTTCTATCTCTCCCTCTCCCTCCTGAAATCAATAAAAATAAATAAATAAATACTCTTTCTTTTTCTCTCTTTCCAGTTTTAGTCTGAGAAAAAAAGCAAAATGCAAATGGTCTAGTTTGTGCTATGAAGACTTGAAATCTGAAAATTGTTTGTTCTACTCTGCATGGAAGTTCACTAGCATGAAACAAGAATACAATCCTGGAAAGGAAGCTATCAGACATTCACTTCAGCATAACTTAGTAACAGATGGTATCCCTTTTCAGTTGAGAGTGCTGCATTAGAGGAAAAAGTTTTTTTACTTTTGGGGTGTGGGTGGGTAATGAGAAGGTTAACTTAACAGCATGAATACTCTAAGGAGTAACAGATCTGAGGGAAGGGAGCTATGGGAAGCATGAAGAATGGGCATGTCAGGAGCCTGAGATCCCTGGAAATCCAACAACTCCATTCTAGAGATCAGAAGGAAAGAGCACCTTTCTCCACACACTGCCAATACCTAATTTTACCCTCTCTCCCTAGACTGCCGCTCTGCTTCAAGGGTCAAACCGTTAAGAGGGTAGCCAGAGTGCATTCTCAGAATGCAGCCACCACCTCCTACCAACCTACCTCCACCTCTATGCCCACTTAAGTAGCTCTCCTTCCCTTCTTCCTGCCACGCACTATGCCAACTCCAGAGGGCTAAAAGTAAACTGAAGCAATTATGGTCACCAGGTCTCTCCAAGAGTTACAGTACTTTAAAAACTAAGCACATTGCCCTAACCCAGGGGTGGGCAAACTTTTTGACTCGAGGGCCACAATGGATTCTTAAACTGGACCGGAGGGCTGGAACAAAAGCATGGATGGAGTGTTTGTGTGAACTAATATAAATTCAAAGTAAACATCATTACATAAAAGGGTACAGTCTTTTTTTTTTTTTTTTTTTTAGTTTTACTCATTTCAAACGGGCCGGATCCAGCGCGGGCCGTAGTTTGCCCACGGCTGCCCTAACCGGTTTGGCTCAGTGGATAGAGCGTTAGCCTGCAGACTCAAGGGTCCCAGGTTCGATTCCAGTCAAGAGCATGTACCTTGGTTGCGGGCACATCCCCAGTAGGGAGTGTCCAGGAGGCAGCTGATCGATGTTTCTCTCTCATCAATGTTTCTAACTCTCTATCCCTCTCCCTTCCTCTCTGTAAAAAATCAATAAAATATATTTTTTTTAAAAAATTAAGCACATGCAACTTTGCTGTGCTATATATTTCCCAGGTTCTATCTTATACATCATAAAGCTGCCTCCTTGATATAAGGTAAAAGATAGGATTGAAGTATATCGCAGCAGAGTTCAAATATCAACTCTAATAGTTGTTACTTAAGCTCTCTAAAACCTACTGAGAAAATTAAAATGAGAACTTGTAGGTAAATCACCCACCATTATAGCAGAAGCTCAGTAAAGTGTAGCTATTATTAGAAGAAGGGGATGTTATAGTACTTTTAACAATCAGTTTTTAAAAAGTACTTTGCATTTTCAAAATATTTAAATCAGTACTCTTGCTCTAATTAGAAAACACTATTGATCATTTTTCAGGGCAATTCTCTCCAAAAAATCTGATAAAATCAATAGGAAAGATTCACCCTACTCCCTGCATTTCTGAATGAACCTTTGAAATCACTTCATCTGTTTTATTTGGTTAGGAAGTACTGTACAAAGTTTCCTGAAAATCCCAGCCATTATGCCTGAAAGATTTTGACAGAAATTCCCCCAGAAAAAAGGAAAAACAAAGGTCTATGTTGACAGTATTAACATGCAAGCTAAAAACCACCCATATCTTTCTTCACTAGGTCCTAACAGGAAGGCAATCAGATAATAAATTTTACCTCTGTTTCCCCAATCCGAATGTCTCTATTGAGTTTCTCTTTATGAATGACTCCATGAGAACCCAACAACTCCGTTCAGGACTTTTCCAGGGACCTTACTCAGGTGTAGAGAAAAACAACCAATTTTAGGTCCGGAAAATGATCACAGAAAAAAATCGGATTTTCTTTTCTTTTTTTTTTTTTTGTTTAGAAAAACAAAGGAATGGTTTTACATCCTAAGCACAGAATCAGTCGGTATCCGAGAAAGACACGCAGACCCTGGGACAAAGCCCATAACCTTCCAGAGCAGCGGTTCTCAACCTGTGGGTCGCGACCCCTTTGGCGGTCGAACGACCCTATCACCGGGGTCGCCTAAGACCATCCTGCATATCAGATATTTACATGACGATTCATAACAGTAGCAACATGACAGTTATGAAGTAGCAACGAAAATAATTTTATGGTTGGGTCACAACATGAGGAACTGTATTTAAAGGGCCAGAAGGTTGAGAACCACTGTTCCAGAGGAACCTGCTTCCTTCCCTGCGCTCCGCGCCAGCCCCTTCCCGAGGCTCCGGACACGCTCACACTCTCCCGGCCTCAGACTCTGCGGGGACCCGCAGCTGCCACGCTGAGGTTTTCAGTCCCGCAAATCTGGGGCTGTGTGGGGAGAGAAATACTCAGCAGCCGCGTGCCACCTTCACATGAACCATGTCACTCGGACGAGGGGACAGCCCGCTCCCCGCCCCACCGCCAGCGGAGGGTGGGCAGGTCCGCAGGAAGCGGCCGGCGGCCAGAGGCCCCGGTTTACCGTCCACACACATCAGAACAAGCACAGGTGAGCGGCGGCCCCGCCGCGGGCGCGGACAAGCGCGGACTGGCTGAGGCGAGGGATGAATGAGGCGGGCGGGGACCTGCGGGGGGGAGGGGGCTGGCGTGGAGATGGGGGGGCCGCCGCGGGGCAGGCGGGTCCGCCCCACTCGGGCCCCGCCCCCTGCCGCCCCGGCCCCGCCGCAGCGCCGCAGTCCCCGCGCGGTAGCGACGCGCGCCCCGGCCCCTGCCCCGCGCCGCCCGGCCCCCAGCACGTACCTGCTTTGCAGACCGGGGCGCTGGGGCTCCGCCTCTCCGGGGAGCAGCGGCTCTGCTCCGGGGACCGCCTCCGGTGGCGGACGCGGGCCGGGGGTGGGGCCGCGCTCACCTCGCCCGTCCACAGGTGGGTGGGCGACGAGCACGGCGACGAGACGGTGCCCAGCAGCGGCGGCGGGGGCGGCGGCCGCGGGGGGCTCCCGCGGGCTCCGGGCGCGGCGCCGCGCGTGGGGCTGGTGCCTCGCGTGGAGGTGGCCGACGCGCCCGTCTGCGTGGCCACGGTGGGGCTGGTGCGCGCGGCCGCACTCCCGCCGCCGCGCGTGGGGCTGGTGCTGCGCGAGGCCGTGCGCAGGCCCCCGCCGCCCGAGGGGCCTGAGGCGCCGCCACAGCCGCCGCCGTTGTTGTTGCCGCCGCCGCCGCCGCTGCTCCGCGTGGGGCTGCCATGTTGCTGCTGCTGCTGCTTCAGCTGGAACGGAACCGTCGCCCTCATGGGCTGCAGACGGCTCCCGGCTCCCCCGGTCGTGGCGACCGCACCGCTCCCGAGGGCGCCGGCCGGCGTGGGGGACCCATTGCGCCTCATCCGCTGGGACATGGTCCACCCTCCCCGGTGACTGGGCGAGACGGGGGCGGGGGCCGTTGCTGGGTTGAAGAGGAAAAGGTTCTCGAGGCCGAAGAGAAGGCCCCCGCGACGGGGTGACGAAGCCGGAATCCGGGGTGCGGGGGGCGCCCGGGCCGCGGCCGGCAGCGAGGAGGTGGTGCAGCCGCCGCCGCCGCTTCTCCTCATCAACAATAGTGTCTCCGCCGCTGCCCCCGCCCCCCGCGCACGCCCATTGGTGCGGCGTCAGCCGCGCTCGAGCCGCTCCGCCGCGCCCATTGGCTGCCGGCAGCTCGGGCCCTGGCCCCCGGGGCCTAACAGAGCCTGGCTTTGCGCGGAGACCGTCCGCTCTTTAACGAGAGCAGCCCGCCCCCGGGATGGGGTGCGGGGGGAGCGGGGAGCCGGCCGTGTGTATGTGTAGCGCGTGCGCGCGCGCCAGTGTGTGTACACGTGAGTGCGCGTGCGCGCGCCTGGCCCCGCGCGCCTCCGGTCCACGCAGGGCAGCCCCGGGCGCTCGGGCTGGAACGTTGCCAACGAGAATGTCCCGAGCCGGAGCCGTCCCCGGGGATGTCCCGAGTCTGTCCTCACCCGTCTCCTCTTCCCTCCGTGTGCCCCGACCGAGGCCGGGTCCCTGGCCTTTTCTCTGGATCTTTTTGTTCTGTCCTAAAGCCATCAACGTTTGGGCAGGGCTCGCAGGAGGAGAGATTGCGTTCATCTGAATGGCATGTTGCACCTCGTGTCCCTTTTAATTCATCTTTACAAAGAGCCAAGTCCCAGGAGGCCAGGCCTGCTGGTCAGCGTGCACTTGGAGGTTGTATCCACGAGGTCCGGTTGTCCAACGCTGTTACCACCGCCCCTGCACCTCGAGTCACCGGAGATTTTTTTTCATCCGCTGCTGCCCAGTCCCCGGGTTCCTGGGGAAGATGTCCGCTACCCTGCAAGTTTGTGAAGGGCCTCGGTTTACCAAGGGCCTCGTTTGATCTTCACGGTCATTATTTGAGGCAGAACTGGGCTGGCCATCCACGTTGTCTTCTGGTGCAGGAAACAGGTCTCTGTGTGCCGGGCAAGCACTCGGGAAGACAGGCAGCAACGTCAGTGCTAACATAACCTTAGGGGCTCCTCGTGAAGACCAAAAAAAAATTAAAAAAATAAAAAATGGTGGAATCTTACCGCACAGACTCACCTCTCGGGCTATAAATTGCTTCCCCTTTGCGAGTTTATTAAATGTCCATTCTAGACAGATTTCATCTTGTAAAAATGTGGGAGTGGAAGGTGCGGGATGATTTGCTCTGGACCCGAAATTCCACTGGGTCCCTGTGCGTTGCGGTGGGAAGCCTGTGAGGACCTAAAGACTCAGATCCCAGACCCACCACCGCCTCCGTGACCTTTCGCAGGTCCCTGGCCAGTTAGTTCCCTTACCTGTAAAACGCAGCTCCACAACGCCTCCTCTTCCATCCGATGGTTGTGATTATCAGCCACGGGGTAAACGAGCATGTGGTTTGTAGAAGGCACTCGCGGTTCCAGGGTCTCCAAGTGATTCAGGGGCCCACGTCTCTCCCTTTTCCCTATTCCTCCTCTCCCCCAACGCAGAGAGGCTCCAAGTCCCAGAAAATACCTGGTTGGCTGATGATAGACCTGACATCACTACCATTCCCACAACCTGGAGTGAAAACAAAAATAGCTTCTCACTAGACAGGACATACAGGAACCTGCCTGCAAGATCCATGCAGAGCGATAAGGCTAGTCTTAACACAGGAGAGAAGATAAGCCTTTAAATAAGGATTTCATGTCCTGTACCAAGTAGGAGCTCTATATATTTACTGAATTAAACTGCAAGAGGTCAGCAGCCCTAGTGTCTTAGGCTTCCTGATCAATCACTTTTTTTAAATTACATCTTTATGGTTGAAAGTATTACAGCCTGCTGGCAGGGCTCAGTGGTTGAGTGTTGCACTATGAACCGGGAGGTCATGGTTCGATTACCTGTCAGGGCACATGCCTGGGTTGTGGGCTTCATCCCCACTGTGGGGCGTGCAGGAGGCAGCCAATCAGTGATTCTCTCTTATCATTGATGTTTCTATCTCTCCCTTCGTCTGACATCAATAAAAATATATGTACTTTAAAAGTATTACATATGTCCCCTTTTTTCCTCCATTGACACCTTCTACCCTGCCCCTTTCCCCATAACTTTTGATGTTACCAAACTAGAGACCTATTTGTTGAAAGCAAGAGACTTTTAGCTTTTCTGAGCTAAAGTACTAACGTCAGCACAGAAGTTTGTTAGATCAAAGAGTTAAAATGGCCCTAACTGGTTTGGCTCAGTGGATAGAGTGTCGGCCTGCGGACTGAAGGGTCCCAGGTTCGATTCCGGTCAAGGGCATGTACCTTGGTTGCAGACACATCCCCAGTAGGAAGTGTGCAGAAGGCAGCTGATCGATCTTTCTAACTCTCTATCCCTCTCCCTTCCTCTCTGTAAAAAATCAATAAAATATTTTTTTTAAAAAGTTAAAATGTCCTTGGCTCAATCATGAGTTCACCTTTTGCTTCTAGTCATGTTTCCTGTGGAAACCAAAAACTGTATAGCTCCAGAAAATGCTCTTTTTCATCTTGACAGTCTCGGGCTTACCTAAGTGAGGGCATGTCAGCTGAAGCAGATGTTAGCCATTTCAGTCCCCTTTGTACTAAAGGATATTTGTGATGACTTGCAAGTAAAACTTGGAAGATATGAAATCATTCAAGAATGAAAAAAAAAAAAACACTCAGATACTTTAGAACTTTTTGTCTGAGTTTAAGATTTAATGGCAATGCATAAAAGCATCATGTACTTGACTTCATTATCTGTCACTGAAGATTCAAAACAATGCATCAACGTGATGTATTGGTCTTCAGTTTGATAGTATAGCTATGAAGAGTGTCCTTGTATTTCAAGGATCAACAAAATAAATGTCTCCCTCTGGCTTAAACCTTTAACCCTGTTCTTAGAATATCATTCAGATTTTCCATTTGCTCTCCAAGGTTGAAAAATGAGTATATGAAGCTGAGGAAGCAACATGTTGGAATTGGTTTATCTATATTTAAACTCCAGAAGACAAAATTAATAGGCTCATTTGCTTCTGTGCTTTTTTAACTCTTTAAAATGATCTTCTTATGGTAAAGGAAGGTGGATTTTAAGAAAAACTTTGTAGGTTTTTTTTTCTTCCCATGGTTTTAGTAGAATTAGCCATATTCTTTTATAAATCTCTAAATTAATGTCATTGAATGGAACACTCTACAGCCACTAAAATGATAATTATGAAGTCTTAAGTTCCTTTCATTTTAAAATAGAAAAAATGAAAATTATGCATTCAGCTGCATATATACAAAAATTCATTGTAGCTGCAATAATACAAAAATGTTCATGCATTATAAACAAACTAGAGGCCCATTGCACGAAGATTTGCGCAATAGGCCTTCCTTCCCCTGGCTGCTGGCACCAGTTTTCCTCCAGCACCCGGGACCCAGGCCTTTGGTCCAGCCTCAGCGGAGAAGCCAAGCCTCTTCAGTCTTCAGTCGTCTTCAGTCTTCCCTCGGGCCAGAGCCTTCAGTCTTCACTCTGTGCCTGCGTATGCAAATTAACCCACCATCTTTGTTGGGTTAATCTGCATACTCATCCTAATTGGCTGGTGGGTGTAGCGGAGTGATGACCAGTTTACATATGTCTCTTTTATTAGTGTATATATTGGAGGATAAAATACTGATATGAAAATAAAACAGTCATTTTTAATGTGGGATTTGGGGCGGTGTTTCCCCCCCCCCCCAAGAAATATTGATATATGATTTCCTAATAAAAGGGCCGAATTATCAGAACTTAAATTGCAAAGTGATATCCTCTACTTAAAATCTGCTGCTTCACTGAGACTTTGGTCTCGACTAGTTCAGCAAGGCCTTCTATAGCACTACCCACTCCTGTGTTACTCTTACCTCTCTGACTATGCCTTGATCACTTTCACTGGCTCCTTCTCAACCTGACCCTTATATGGTGAGAGTGCCTCAGGACTCCATCCCAAGTCTTCCCTCCACTCATTCCCTAACCAGAGAGCTTCATTTGTACATAAAATTTTACTGACCATCACATTGCCATCTACTCAACTGGCTGCTTGACATCTCTCCTTGTATTTCTCACAGATGCCTCAAACATTGTCCACACCTGAATTTGTCATCGTCCCACCATTCACCCAGCAACAACTGAGGCTCTTCCAGTGTTCTATTATCTCAGTATATGGATCCACTATCTACTCAGTGATCTAAATTAAAACCCTGTAGTCATCTTGGCTCTCTGGCTCCCTTGTGGCAGGTTCATTTATCTTAACTACTCCAGCTTTGCCGGGAGCCGGTCCATGCTTGCTGTTTCAAGGGACCTGGCATATATGGCATACTGTTCTTAATATGTTTGCTCACCTTCTTGTCACTATGTGTTTTAACCAAGGTCTCTGAGAAAGGTTGTTTCCCCAGGTAGGGATTTTCCCCTGAAGTTAGGGAGGGAATAAAACCTCTTAACTAGTGCCAGGTGGGTAATTAATCACTTTAACTACGAACAATCATGCTTAAGCTACATAATCTTTACCCCCTGGAATGGAGATAAGAAACGCCCTAACCTTTGTAATAGAGATTGGTAGGATTGAATCAACTGGTATAAATACAGATGTAGTAAGACAGCAAGAGACAGAACTTAGAATACGGAACCAGGAGAGACGGAACCTAGGCACAGAACCTACACAGAACTAGAGACAGAAGAACTTCGCTGGAGAGAACATGGCAAAAGATCCTGGACTGAACCTGACTACAGAAATGGGCAAGAGAACCTGACTAGAACCTGGTGACTGAACCTGGCTGGAGAACCTAGCAAGAGAACATGGACACAGAACCTGGCAGGAGATCCTAAGCAGAACTTCGCTGGAGATCCAGACCAGAACTTGGCTGGAGATCCTGGCTAGAGATCCTGGCTAGGCTGCTGATCAACTGAACGCTGTCTCCGTGTCATTCCTTCTTCGCCGACTCCGTCCACACCTTTGGGGACCCCTGGACCCACTGGGGCTGGACCCCGGCATATGGCGCCCGAACAGGGACCCCTAGGTAAGCCCCACTCTCAGGACGGATAGGACTCCACCGTAGGAAGAGGGTGGATAGTCTTTGCCCCACAATCGGGACGGATCGGACTCCACCATAGGAAGAAGGTGGATAGTCTTCGCC